TCTGGAAAACAAAAGCATGAGAAGATTCAAGTTATGGAGTGTTGTGCTTTATGTAATAGTATAGACAGTATAGATTAATGGTTTATCTAATCCCACATGTAGGTACAATCTTATTATATAATATATATATTTTTTTTTGAGCTTTTCAATATATAAGTGGATGCTTGTACATCAAACAGTGCCATTGCAATCACAGTAGCAAATCCTACTGATCTTGTGAAAGTTAGACTTCAAGCAGAAGGAAAATTGCCTCCTGGTGTGCCAAGGCGTTATTCTGGAGCATTGAATGCTTAAATTTCCAATTCCAACCCACCATTCCGCAATGCCATGAATCTCGGGTTTGTTTTTTCCAATGTAGACACTTCTAAAGATTCCAGGGTCACAGATAATGTTTTCACTCATATGCTATCTGGTTTGGGGGCTGGCTTTTTTGCTGTTCTGCATTGGCTCCCCAGTTGACGTGGTAGTGTTTTACTAATTCTCATTTCTGTCCAGCATTTTGTTGTCGCTGGTTGGAGATCCGATAGTCAGCAAAGTTTAATAACTTAGGGTTTGACTATGTAGAACATTGATTGTCAAATGAGAACACCCTCATACTTGTTTGTTTATCTACTATGATTGTCTTCCTTGAATGCGTTTGCATTCATATCATCATTCCCTTTGCACATATTTGAATTTTAAACGATGTTAAAGCTCTCTGGGGTCGTGTTAGACCAATGTGTTCAAAAACTGTAGCCCTTATATAGTCTATATATCTTGACGAGAAGAATTCGTGAAACAAGAATCTAGCCTTTAATAGTCTATAATCTTAATGTGAAGTTAAGGGATAGATAATTCTGCCATTTATTTTATTTGTTTCTTACTGTAAGTTTTAAAGGTTGTGTAGTTTACAGTTTTTAATTTAGATGGTAAAAAAGTGTTGCTCATATGACTCCTGTTGTAATCAGTCTCACATCATGTTCGGTTATGCTTATGCATGATAAATTGCAGATAGTGCTACATTATTCGTTCACAACACCAAATATTAGAGCTAGGTTTCAATCATTATCATATTAGTAATGGAGGATGGTGCTATACATACCAATTCTAGTTTCAAGGATTCTAATATCCTAAATTAACTACACCCAATTTAGTCCCAATATGGGGTTCTAGGAGGGATAGATTTGGGTACAAACCTACATTTGTCGTAATTTGCACAAAGTGGTTGTCCTCAGTTTGAACCCACAACCTCAAGGTTAGTAATCGAGTTTTAAGTTCAAACAAAAGTTAGTCTGAAGTATTGATGTTGCCATCATGCAGAAGTTCATCGGCATTCTATTCCATAAGTATATATGCCGCTTTACCTATTATAATTCACAACAAAACACAGAGTTAGTTTTAGATCATTGTAGTAGAAGATCCTAGATTTCTTTTGGTATCTATATCCTACCCATTCAATGCTTGTAATTCACTCAGAATTTGCTTCTTGGTAAGGTATACTTGATTAAAACTGCTTTGATCTCGATCTGCACAAATAAGGCAATCTACGTTGTCTAATACTGCAGTTAAATCAAGAATGATGGGGATTCTACATACAAAATTACACTAGATTGTTTCATCAAGACTCTGAGAGCGAAGTAAGTTTGCATCTTTCGACCCTGTTTTCGCTGCATGACAGTTCTTACCTTCTAGAAAAAATTTGTGCTGAATCTGTATTCTGCACTAATTTCTGCATGTCTACAATTCCGTAACATAAAAGAGTGTATATGACTGGCATATATATTTATTTTCTGCCTCTGGTTTAAGACCAAACATAAATTAGTAGATAAAAATAAAAGAAAAAAATGTGTTGCTATTAGTACTTTATGTCATCTTTTTGCCTATTTAGATTGGGCTGGGTTTAATTTGAAGTCTTGGAATTTTATGACGAACTATCTTTGGCAAATGCCCGGAAGAAGTAAAAATAAAATAAAAAACCTTTACTTGAACAGTCATCGGTTCCTTCTAGTTTGCAGGGACCTCTTGCTTTCTACAATGGCTTTATCCCAAATTTTGGACGGTTAGGATCTTGGAATGTGATCATGTTTCTTGATCTTGGAGCAGGTAAAAAATTTATGGCATGTACACGTGATAATTTTGAGTGCATGCTTCATATTATTTGGTAAAAAAATTCTTTAAAATTCTAACTTCCATGTGTGGTAATTACAAGATACATGCACCACAAATACTTGGGATTGCGATATTTCTTCTTGATAGGGAATTTTTTCAATAAGGGGAGTCATATTAAGTAATCAGTTTAACAGTTATTAACAGCTTGATTTTCTGCATTAGACTAATAATGTTTATCTTTTTTCTTTTACAGGCTAAGATGTTTGTTAGAAGTATAGAGTCGGCTTGAGTTAGAAGGATAGGCAATGCAGCCAAATGTGGGTGAAATTTTTTATTAGGATTGCCTCCAGAAGAACCGGATGCTCTGAAGAGAAATAAAATCCCTATTGTTGTTGTTGTACTCTTTTTTGATAATAAAGGGTTCCTACAGGGAAATCAATTGAAAAGATTTTACTAATTTCCCTCTATGGTAGAAATGTGGAAAAGGTTTTGTTGGGTGAAAGAAATTGGCTTACAAGTCGTTGCCAAACGATAAATGAAGGCTTGGTTTGGCAACATTGATTTATAGTCAAAAAGTTATATTATTCTATTTATTTTATCCACACCTTTTTATAAAAAAATTAATTAAAATAATCAATTCTCAAAAGGAAGTCTAAATACATATATTAATAAAAATATATTGTATATTATAGTTTGTGGGTAGACAAAGCCTATATCACTCTTTATATAAGCCCTACACATGTTATAACTGGATTTAAAAATCTTGCCCAATATGGCCTTATGGCCATGTTTGTTTACCAGCGAGGAGGGATTGAAATGCTATAACTGTGGGTTCTACCCACAGCTTGTTTGGTGATAATTTGGAAGAGGAGAATAATAGTATGAGGGACTTAGTAATTCCCTCAATAGGGGATTAGCTTGATTGGATTTTGGGTGGAATTAGAAAAATAGTAAAGAGATTGAAATTATTTTATATATTAAAAAAATTAAATTAATTTTTTTTAATACCAAGTGTACTTATTTGTTTTAGTTTTTTTAATATAAAAATAAATTTTTTTTTTATTTTATATAAAAATAATTTAACAATCTGATCACTAATTATTCCTCAAACTATCATCATAACAAATATATTTTTACTTAATCCTCTTACTAATAATTTCTATATTAATAATTTTTTCACTAACTATCATCTCGCTCACAATTGCATCTAACCTATTTCGCCAAACAACCATATCCTATAGGTCTAAATCATAATTTCAAGCGGAGTAGGAGGCCATTGGATTCATGTCCATCCTTACTAAGACCTCGTTTGGGAACAGACTAATTTAGTAACTTTTTGGCTATTTGGCTAAAATATGAGCTAAAAAAAATTAGTATGTTTGGGATGACTTTTTGACTTTTTACGAAAAGATGTGCAAAAAGTAAATCACACTTGATTAAGGGTTGGTTGGGAAAGTGGGTCGATTTTTTGATTTTTTAACTTTTTGATTATTTTAGTATGGGATTAAAAAGTTTTGTTAAGGAAGGATTTTTTGACTTTTTGTGAGAAAAAAAATATAATGATTATGGGTTAAATGTAATATTTTATTTTATTATGTTAAAAAGTCTATTTATTTTTTTGTAACTATTTTAATCAAAAAAAACCCCAACCTCAAATTCCCAAACAAAGGCTAAACAGTTTATACCCTATTTCATCCTCTTTTCAATTTCACATTTCAAAATAGCGAATAAAAAAATAGGATCTTTGACTTGATCAACTTCTTTTCTTTTCTCTTTTTTTTTTTTAAAAAAAAAAATTAAAACCAAAATTATCTGTTTGGAATAACTTATTTCTCAAATTACCTTAAAAATTAACTTTTCTCAAATTAACTTATTTCTCAACTTATTATTAACCAACACATTTTTCTTTAAAAAAATTAATGTTAATCACATTTTATTTTTCTTGAAAAAATTATTGTTTATATTACTGATTATTCTTTTGATTAGCACAAAACACTATCTAACTAACTTTTTTCTTGACATGATTACATTATATTAAATTGGTATTAGGAGATTGCTAATCACAATTTAATGTAGTTTGAGAAATAAATTTATTTGTACACAAATTTTGGATATAAAAAAAAGTAACCAACAAAAATCAACCACGCTACATCCCACCAATATAGTACCCTCATTTTGATCCCTAATGAGGTGGAAAAGAGAGAGATAGAGAGAAGAGTGTGAGTTCATCCCTTCATGTGGTCCATTTCATATCATTAGGGATGGATGAAAAATGTTTAAGACCCACAAAAAACCTCCCACAATTTGACCTACAATGTGGTAAGGCTAAGCAAGGAATCCGTGAAATCTGTAATCTAATATGGTCCGGTCCAATCCAGTGGCATTGGATTGGTTTTTTGAATCCATGGTTCGGTTCTGGATTGAAAAATTAAAAATCCGTAATTCACAAATCGGTTCCAGATTGGAACCGATTCGGACTATATACAAATAGCCTATATTTATATTATACACCCTCTCGCATAGTATCTTCTCTTATTCCATATAAAACCTAAACCCATAGTATCTTCTTTTATTGTCTTTGTTTGTTAGTTTTTAGTTTTAATTTATAATGATTTAAATATTTATGGTTGTTTAAATTCTAAAGCAATATGTCGCTATTATAGAGAGACATATTGTTATTGTGGAACCAATATAATGATATGCTTATGTTTTTATGAAATTAAAATGTTCTATATTTTTTTTTATTTAATTATGTAAATCTCCGTAATCCTAAACCGATCTAATCCGTATTTAAATGAATTGGTTCAAATTGGTTCTACGATTTAAACGGATTAGATCGGTTCCAATTTTTCAGGAACTGTAGATAACGAATTAATCCTTGTTTTACCCCAATCCGGACCATGCTCACCCCTACCATGTGGCATGATACATGTCAGCTTTTAATTTGTCATATACTTAATTGTGTAGGGCTTACCTATCTTGCCACATCATTGCAGATAAATTTAAGAATCCAAATTGTGGGTCTCTAGCATTACTCGGGGTGGATTGGGGTGCCAAATTAGTGCTCCCAAGTATTTTTTCAAAAAAAATAAGTGTTGAATTACATGGTTTATACTATTCAATTTTTAATTTTTTTTGTCAAATTAGATTTTAAGGTTTGGACAACTATCACTAAATGAGTGGGAGTTTGGGATTTACTTTTTATATATATATTTTTTTTGTTGGTTTGTTTTTGTATTTAGTATTTTTTTTTTGTTTTCAAAAACTTTGAGCTTATTCGGTTTGTATCTCAAGATATAATTTTTGAGAAAAATTTTCAAAATTTTGTTTGGTTAATTTTTTTTTGAAATTTTTTTTCAAATCATTTTCTCTTTCCTACATATCAATCAATCACTTTTTTTTTTCTCTCTAGACGAGCTGAAAATTTTAAAAATTCCCAAAAAAAATTTAAAAAAGACAAAAATAAGTAAAAAACGGGGAATTTTTTTAAAAAAATATATTTTGGCTTTTTCAATTTTTGGCTTAACACTCTTGAGAGAATTTCTCACCTAGGCAAAAAAGGAAAATAAATTATTGTGATTTCTCACATTCTTATTTGGGTGGATTATGATTAAAAGACTAATTTTAGTTTCTCACCAAATGTGAAAGCTCACCACATCAGGTGAGAAATAAAACTTAAGTTCGGTGTGATTTGATTTTCTCACCATTTCTCTTCATTTCTCACCATTATTCACCTCATTAATCATCCAAACAAATTATAAAAAACCTCATTCTCTCCATTTCTTTTCCCTTCTCACCAAACTCAATCCAATCTAGGGGTGGACAAACGTCGGGTTGAGCCGGCACTACATAATAAGGGATTTTGTATCTGCCTAAGCCCGACTCGGCCCTAACATCAAGCCTCTATATCTACCTAATCCCGGTCCAAAAAATAATTATAAATCTCAAACTCATCCATTGGGTTATATATTTTTTTTTAAAAAATCATAATTAAATTCAATCACATATTATATTTCTTAAATAAATATATTGATATCATTATAAATTGAAAAATTTATATATCCACATTTTTTTAGATAGTGAGTTTTGGTTGAAGTAAAGAAGGAAGAGAGATCTCAAAGCTATAGTTTTGCATCATTTAATGTAATGGTTAAAATCTACCAATTTTATGGTTAGGTGGTCAGTTTATTTTGCAGAAAATTAAATAAATGAAAAATAAATAAATTGTATGCTACTTAGTGAATAAATCAATTTGAACATAAATTTTCAAATTTATAGGTTAACGAAATAAGTGAAAAGTAAACACATAAATGCTACGTAAAATCCAAGCACAGCAAAGCATAAGATTTAAACAAACAACAAAATGTAAGTCCCACAACACAGAAACATCTGTATAAAAATCAGATGAAATACGCCAGCCAATGCTATGTAATAGAAAAAAATAAACAACAAATTAAGCACACCAGCCAATGCTTTGCAATACAAAAAAATGCCAAATAACAAATTAAGCACACCAGCCAATGTTCTGTAATACAGAGAAAATGCAACACCCTTCATGATAAAAAGATAACAAATAAAAATATGATTAGTTTTGTTTTAACCTAATCCAAGAGCATATTAGGAAGAAAAAACAAAAAAAACAAAAAAAAAAATATATCACCTAGTGTCTTACATTTACAAAAACAAACTCATAACATAAATCAATAATTCAAATGAATATTACTAACATACATCTAAACTTAGTTATAAATTTCACATAAATAAAAGGCTTTACAAAACTATTGTAAGTAATAAATTTCACATCGATCGGAAACTTTACAAAATATGGATCGTAGCTAGCATATGTACGCTTTTCACAAAAATAAATATGAGATTCAAACTTGTTCTTTCTTAGAAATCCTAGGAGCGCCTCATCACTTTCCAAAAAGTCCTCGTATCAACTTGTATGTATCCCCAGTGAGGAGCATTGCATGACAATCTACTAATTTATGAAAATAAAAAAAGTTAGTATATTAGCAAAAGAAAATTTATATATATATCAAAACAGTTTCAAATTGAAATTACCTTGTAACATCCACATCGAAGTAATCTAGTTGTATTTATATTTTTGAGCTCCATATATTTTTAAACCAATCCTACAAAAGTCGACACATATAGTAAAATATTTAAAAATAACAATTTGTAATCAATAAAAACAAATTTATTAATAAATAAATTGTACGTTTTGACAAAAGTGGTTTGATCATAAGTAACACTATACAAAAAATTTCAGGATAAACAATGTTTGTAGTAGAATCTGGCTCATCATGGGAAGGAGGACACTTATACGATCAAAAGATGTGCATCTAGATAGGGTCACATACAATTGCCCATGACTAAACACTGGTGTGCGCAAATCAACTCCAACAAATTTCACAGATTGCTCTTAAAATTTATTAATGGTCAAGGCATATGCCA